GACGCATAGCCTGCTAATCAGCTTTTGGACTGTTCATTCATCTAGTTTGTCTCTTATTACGGCTCTGCAGATTCACTGTTATCCTTCCACCGTCTTCTGTTGGGCGATTTAGGGGCTAGTAATTAATGCCTGCATTACAGACCTCTTCTAAACCCAGACGTAACTCCCTTGTCCACTTAAAGGCCTCTCGGAGGACGTGGGCCCACGTCTATTCGGCCTGCCTTCCGTACCTATATGGTAGGTTTAAACGCCGAGGGTGAGGGAAGCTGGCGTGACGGGTCAACCACTGAGAACAAATGAACGTCGAGTGAACACAAGGTCGATGACTTTTTAGGGGTCGGCGTCTAGACTTGGGTGCGTCTAGGAGACACGGAGTCGATGGTTTACCTGATGCGGCAATCATGGCCATATAGAGTGCTGTCGTCATCCGACGTGTCGGTGCCTATTTTCCCATACAACAGATCACATGGATGATTTCAACAAAATCATCCTCGATCTTGAAAATATAGATATCAAGATTGAAGATGAAGACCAGGCCCTGCTTCTCTTAAGGTCTCTTCCCAGTTCATACGAAGCCCTAGCAGACACATTGATCTTTGGGCGTGACAGTCTCTCGCTGGAGGAGGTACAAACTGCGATCATGTCAAAGAAATTGAAGAAGCGAATTGAAGGGCGATCAGAGGAAGCAGATCATGGATCTGGAGAAGGCTTAACTGTTCGAGGTTGGTCTGAGAAGAGGGAATGGAGAGGACACAACAACAAGGCAGGAAAACGAAAGTGTTTCATTTGCCACAAAGAGGGGCATCTCAAGAGAGATTGCCCAGATCAAAAGAAGAAGAAAGTTGTGGATGAAAAGTCCGAAAACGGTGATGCAGACATTGCTTCAGAGAGTGGTTATGAAAGCGCTTAAGTTCTCATGGTTTCAAGCAACACTGAAAATGAGTGGATTCTTGATTCGGGGTGTTCTTTCCACATGACCCCAAATCAAGAATGGCTTCAAGATTACTCAAGGATAGATGGTGGACAGGTTCTGCTTGGAGACAACAAGGCCTGTAAGTGTACAGGCATGGGCACAATTGTCTTAAAAACCTCATCAGGGGACGTTCACAAATTGACTCGGGTAAGGCATGTCCCAGAATTAAAAGAGAGATTTAATTTCTTTAGGTATGCTTGATGTAGAAGGTTTTAGTTTCAAGGCAGATAGTGGCGTGATTAAGGTGTCAAAGGGATCAATGGTGATGTTAAAGGGCTTCAAGGTAAATGGGCTATATGTTTTGCAAGGAAAGACAGTAACTGGAGCAGTGTCTCTTGTTGGAGATAAAGCTGGGGACATGGCAGTGCTTTGGCACAGGCGCTTGGGGCATGTGAGTGAAAAATGCCTACTGGAATTGGACAAGAAAGGGTATCTGAAAGGGGACAAAATTGGAAAACTGCAGTTCTGTGAACACTGCATTTATGGGAAGGCTCAGAGATTGAAATTTTCTACAGGAATGCACGTCACAAAGGGGATTTTGGATTATGTGCACTCAGATCTTTGGGGGCTTCTAGAGTTTTCTCAATGGTGGAGCCAAGTACTTTATGTCCATTATTGATGATTTCTCCATAAAGGTATGGATTTTTCTGTTGAAAAATAAAAACCATGCCTTATCTACTTTTATTGAATGGAAAACGTTAGTGGAGAATCAAACCGGTAGGAAAGTGAAGAAACTTAGGACAGACAATGGATTGGAGTTCTGTGCTGATGAGTTTCATGCCTATTGTAAACACAATGGCATTGCTAAGCATCATACTATTTACTGGAACGCCCTAGCAAAATGGATTGGCAGAGAGGTTTAATAAGACCATATTAGAGAGAGTGAGATGTATGCTCACTAATGCAAATCTGTCAAAGTCATTTTGGGCAGAAGCTGTCAAAACAGCTGCCTACCTAATAAATACGTGTCCTTCTATAGCCATTAATTTGGAAACCCCTGAAGAAAGGTGGTCGGGTCATCCACCCAAGTATGAGCATCTAAAAGTTTTTGGATGCATTGCTTATGCTCACGTTAAGCAAGGAAAATTAGAGCCCAGAGCAAAGAAGTGCATCTTTCTGGGATATCCAGAAGGGGTTAAGGGTTACAAGTTGTGGAATCTTGAGCCTAACAGAGCCAAGGTAATACTAAGCAGGGATGTAACTTTCATAGAATCTGAGTTCTACAAGAAGCAACCACAAACTATGAGTACAGCTGCAGAGGAGTCAAATACCGAGAGAATAGAAGTGGAGGTGGAGGCCATTAAGGCAGCAGGAGGAGTTTCAGGACAGGAATCTGTTGGGACAGATGTGAATGAGCAACTAACAGAAGATGAAGATCCTCTAGATAGTTATACACTAGCTCGGGAAAGAACTAGAAGAGATGTGAGGCCTCCAATCAGGTAGGCTATGCAGATTTGATCTCATTTGCTTTATTGACTGCTGAGAGTCTAGAAGAGAATGAATCAGTCACTTTTAAGGAAGCCATGAGCTGCACTAACAAAATAAAGTGGAAGGAAGCTATGAGGGAAGAAATCGAATCTTTAGAGAAGAACAATACATGGGTTTTAGTGAAAAGGCCAGAAAAAGAGAAATTAGTAAGCTGTAAGTGGGTCTATAAGCACAAAGAGGGCATACCAAGAGTTGAGAAGCCGAGGTTTAAAGCCAGACTAGTAGCTCGGGGTTTTACTCAACGAGAAGGCATAGACTTCACATATGTATTTTCTCCTGTAGTGAAGCATACTTCCATAAGGATATTGCTTGCACTCACAGCCTTTCATGACATGGAGTTAGAGCAGCTTGATGTCAAGACTGCTTTCTTGCACAGTGAGTTGGAAGAGACTATATATATGCAACAGCCAGAGGGCTTTCGTGTTAAGGGCAACGAGGATCATGTGTGTCTCCTAAAGAAGTCACTATATGGTCTCAAACAGTCACCGCGTCAGTGGTATAAGAAATTTGATGATTTCATGCTGAAAAATGAATTTTGCATAAGTGAATATGACCATTGTGTTTATTATAAACACTTGGCTTCAAAAAAACTTATCCATCCACTTCTATATGTAGATGATATGTTGGTGGCATGTGCAGACATGGAAGAAGTCACAAAAGTCAAATTCATGCTGAAATCTGTGTTTGAGATGAAGGATCTTGGACCAGCAAAGAGGGTCCTAGGTATGGAGATACTGAGAAACAGAGAAAAGAAACTACTATTTCTGCATCAACAAGGCTACACCAGTAAGGTTGTTGATAGGTTTGGTATGGCGGATTCAAAGGCAGTAAGCACTCCACTAGCACAACATTTTAAACTGTCAGCACAAGCTTGTCCTGTCACTGATGAAGAAAAGCTGGAAATGGAGAGGATACCATATTCTAATGCAGTGGGAAGCTTAATGTACTCGATGGTGTGTACAAGGCCTGATTTGGCGCACTCTGTAAGTGTTGTAAGCAGGTACATGGCTAGAGCAGGCATGGAGCATTGGAGTGGTGTAAAGTGGATCCTGCGATATCTCAAAGGGTCTAAGCAGTTTAGTTTGTTATATGATGGAAGAAAATAAAATGATAAAGTGGTAGTGGGATTTGTGGATTCTGATTTTGCAAGAGATTTAGATAACCGAAGATCCCTCACTGGTTATGTGCTTCAGGTTTATGGATGTATAGTGAGTTAGAAAGCATCACTTCAACCTGTGGTTGCCCTATCTACAACAGAAACTGAATATACTGCCTTGACTAAAGCAGTAAAAGAGGCTCTTTGGATCAAGGGGTTACTTGATGAATTGGGAGCTAAAACACAGGCTACTACGGTATATTGTGATAGCCAAAGTGCAATTCACTTGTCAAAGAACCATATGTTTCACGAACGAACTAAACACATAGATGTAAAACTGCATTTTGTGAGGGACATTTTGTCCAAAGGAAGTGTCAAGGTTGATAAGATTGACACGTATGATAATCCTGCAAATATGATCACAAAAGTTGTACCACTAGGAAAATTCAAGCATTGCATGGAACTAATAAGGGTAATGGGTTACAGTGAAGACTGAAGACCTGTGCAATGGAGTTTCAGCAGAAGTTCAAAGAACAGTCAAGGTGGAGAAATGTTAATATTGACTGTCGTTTTTTACCAAGGTGTGGTGGTGTTGTTTTGTCTTTGTGTTGATGATGCGGCAGATAGTTTTTTTTTTTTTTTACTTTTGTGGTTATTAAAAGTCAAAATAGGAACATTTCCTAATTTTTTTATTTTGGCTGAGATATAAATAGGTTGCGTACTTTTCCTTCTTCTGCCATTAAACAAAGAGGTAGTCATTAAGAGAGAGAAAGTGTTCTTCTTGTAAGTCTTGGAGTGAAAACAAGAGTGAAGAGAGAAGAGGGTGTAATCTTTCTTGAATGTTCTCTGTTCAATACAAGAGATTTTTCTGCTGAGGTTTATTCACGGAGTTGTGTTCTAGATTTGCTCTGCAAGTTTGTGATCTGGTTGATTTTGTTCTTGAAGTTCTCTGTTATAATTTTAACACAAACCAAATGGGACGTTAATTAAAAAAAGAAAACTCTTTCATTGCTCAGTTGCCATTATCATGATTAACAGAAGCCACTCAAACCAAAATCTATAAAAAAGTGCTTGCAGACAATTCAAATGTGATTTTCACATTAGATTACGCCAAAATCTCGAATGACCAAAGCTTTAACTAGTATGTCTATATGCTGAGTGTGTGGAGCCTAATTATTGCATTGATTCAGAGTTAACACGCGGATTATAGATAGATCAACCTCATAATCATAGTGAAATTCTCCGAATGAAAGCGTGAAACACAAAGACACGAGCTTTTATAATTACTTCCACAACTATTTATTAGCTCTTCAAACTCACACTATAACAAATCGTTACACAAAACTAAACTTCAGAAACAAACCAACAAAAGCAGTAAACAAACAACAAAAATAACCAAAACCCATCAAAAGACCGAAATCGCAGAAATTGAGAAGACCCCACCTGTAAACGCAGGGTTCCTGGATCAAATTTGGGCCGTAGGATCTCATCGGAGGTTTCATCATCTCGTGGATAAGATCTTCGGTCAGGTCGGGCAGAGAAGCTCGTAGCTTTTGGGCAGTCTCGGGCTTGAGCTGAGCTTGGCGTCGAAGAAGCTGGGCAACGTAGACGTTGGTGAGTCCAGTTTCCTGCGCTATCTCACCGTACGACTTGCCGGAATTCTGTTTCACGGACTGTAGACGACTGGTTATGATTGCTTTGTTCTCTGCCATTTCCGACCGACAGTGGTCCCAGTGAAGAACCGAACGCTTATCACGAGAAGAGAAGAGGGAGATATTACAGAAAGAATACCCAACAGTGATATATATAGACACACACACGTGTGTGTATATAAAGGAAATGTAATTGTTGTCAGTAGGGCTTGTTTGGATGGCAAATTTACTGAACTTATTCTTATATTTAACTAAAAAAAATACGAATTAAGAGTAAAAAATAAAAATTTAGATTTATATATTTTAAGGAGTATTTTTTTTTTTTAACTCATGATTCTAATTTTTTATATTATTTTTGTTATAAAAAATTTAAAACAAAAAATTTCTCATCAATATATTTAGTGTAGTAGTGTTTAAAAAATTATGAGGTTGAATTATTATGGGTAGTTAAAAATAGATATGATATGAAATTTAAATATAATAATATTATTAAATTCAATAATATTATACATTTTTGAGAGTTTTTTTTAGTAGATATATTAATAATAGTACTTTCCTTTTCATCTCTTTCTCAATTGTTTTTTATTTTTTATTTTGTTTTAATAAACACACAAAGAACAAGCTTAGGAGGAGGTCAACCTGGAAGACCATAAGTGTTCTCTCTCAGTTTTCAGGTAACAATAATACCATAACTGCAAACAAGTAACAATAAATACCACTTTAATTTGGCATAACATGATATATGAAAGCTCTTGTCCATAGAGCTATGACCACAAGCCGCCGCCAATGAACGCAATTAGGGTAATTTCCCTTTTATTTGTTTTCTTGTGCCTGAATTAATTATCAAACTTAATCTAAAACACAGAAAAAACAACTGAACTCAAAAAAAAAAAAAAAACATGGCAAGCTGCAGTGTATAAATAAATAGGAAAGCAGATGGAACATTAACATCAGTAACACCACAACAGGAATTTGAGAATCATCAAAGCATAAAAATTGAAAAATTACCTTATTCACACGAATTTCTTGGCAATATACAAAGACAACAATGACAAAAATTTGAAAAATTACATCAAACAAACCACAGAAAATATATTCCTAGTTCATTTTGTCAAAAAGGAGCAGAAAAGTGCAAAAAGTTTCCACCTCTATGGTATTCTTGATCACAAAATGTCAACTCAGTGATTGAACATAACTAAAACTCTATTGCAAAAATCTAAGATTTGTTGTTTCATTTGAATCAAGGTAAGATAATTTCAAAGAGGCAGGTATGTCTAGAAATCTTAATTAAATTTTGGCAAATACCAAAAAAGGGGGAACAACATCCAAGGCTCTCATTCTAGAACACCTTTAGCTCGAACATCCAAGGCAAAACTTTGCTTTGCTCTCATTCTAGAACAACTTTGGCCCCGAGCACTTCCGCTTTTCTACTATTTGCTCTCCTTCCTCCTTTGACAATCCTTTCTTTAAGAGTGATGGTGTCTCCTTACTAAGTCCTTTGCTTCCTTAAGGCCTAAGTCAATGGAGCTCCTGACCTCCTTGATAAGTTTGATTTTCGAAGTTGCCTCGTATGATTCCAATTTCAATTCGAAGACGGTATTTTCAAGTTTCTTCTCCTCCTTGATTGTAGTTGCTGCTTTCGTTGCCAACACCATTCCAACTAAGCCAGCAGCTCCTGGTTTCATAACTCCGACACCTGGTGGTTCTGTCATGCCCTTTTTTTGCATCAAAATGGCACCTAGCTCAGCAACTTTAGCCAGTGTAAGTCCTGATATTTCATCAACAAGCCTGAAACACGCTCAGTTGGAGGACTGCGATGCTCAGCTCAAAAGCAATTTTCATAAATATCAACCAAAAATCACAATAGCAATTTTGAACAATCAAACAAATTCTGACTTTCGACTTTCTTGAGTTTCAGCCTTTACTCAACTTCCATTACTTCAACTTCCAGCAAATTCAATTCAATGCAGTTGTCAAGAGAGAATAAGAGCAAAATTCAAATCTGATGATCGAATAAATATAAATGAAGTCATACAATGGAATAAATCAAACACAAGCAATCAACCTAAGTGGCTTGATTTACCCAAAATCGAACTTCTCGAAAAAAAAAAACAAAAAAAAAGCCCAAAAACGTACTTTGATAGTGATGTTAGGAGGGAGAACCCAGGTGAGGGAATTGTGCTTGGAGGCGCACTTCCTAGTGGAGAGCTTGGCAGTCTCGAGAAGAGCGGGGCCCAATTTAAGGACGCGGTCGAGAGGAGTATCTGATTGGAATTAGAGGCGGAGGAGTCAAGAAGCCAGTCGAAGGAGAGGTCGGCGGAGAGAGGGGAGGAATCGGAGTGGCAAAGAAGAGAGTGCAAGAGGTGCTCGATGTCAGAGTGGTTGGGATAGGGGATTCTAGGGTTTCAGAGAGCACAAAAGAGAACGGGTGAAAGAGAGATACTGATGAGCCTGAAAAATGATGGGTAAGATGGTGAATTTCAAATTTCACCAGGGGTATATTGGGTAATAGGAAATTTTCATTAAGGGGCAGCAAGTGATTCCAGCACAAGTTAAAATCTAATCTCAACTGATTCTAATTTTAGCTTCAAATTCTTCAGAAATTCTTCTAAAATCTATTTTTATGAAGTTTATCAAACACAGTTAACTATTTTGGATGACTAATTGCTTTTGACCTCCAAAATTCAATACCAAACTGGACCAATATTGCGGACACGGTCATATAACACTCATATTTGCTTAGTGCAACGCTTACAACATGGAGAAATCGACACGGAAGAAAATTGTTGTTGTGTGAAGAGGGAAATGAAGAGACGTGTTCGGTTATCTCCTCGAGCCACTCATATATCACTCTCCTTGTTTTCTTTTTTTTTCTTTTTGTTTTTTGTTTTTTTTTGGTCTCTAATAATACCACTATCTCTTGTTGGTTTGCCTCCATTATGATTAACGATTGTTATTTCATTGCACTCTCAGATTTTTATTTATTGATTTTGTTAATCTTGATTTCGAGTATTAACCTTTTCTTTCTTGAACAATGACATGTGGTATACTATAGAATGTTTGAAACGGCATTGATAATTCCTACTTAAAATTCTTCCAACTCTTGTGAGATTATTGTTTAGGGTCACAAACAATGCCATTACGATATTTTAACACAACGAATAATGATACCAATTTGTGGGAACATAAGACTTCCAAAACAGTACCAACTACATAGCAGATGACAAATGAAAACCAACAGATTTCATGCTTACAAGTTCATAAGATAGCCTAGATAATAATCACTTTATCTTCAAGCACCTGAAACAAAGGAAACTAGAACATCTTTTTGTTTCCATGATATCTATACAAGGCTAGTTTCCTATTTGTTTTTGCTTACTGAATGTTTTCCCTACGACGCACGTAACGGGTTCTATCATTGTATCTCGGTCTGTCCTGAGCTCTCTGCGGTTGAGGCTCCACCCTCCTCTGCCTTTCCGGCGATCTTTGAACAATTTCTCCATTCACGAACAACTCAGCTGCAGAGAGGTAATGTCGTCATTAGATGTATTAAAATCACTAATCAAAACACCAACACTTTTCTAGAAGAACATAGAAAGACAGATAAATGAATGAAAGTAGGAACTTTAATTCCACAAGTAGCAGATATAAACACAAAGATAAATTGAAAATCCACAAATATACTTGTGCAACAAGAAGGCTATCATTTTATGTTTCATCTCTACTGATCTGCAACTCCAAAATAATTTAAAGCACAGAACAGTTTCGAAACATTTGATACAAGTCCATTAGCATTCAAAATTAAACATTGCGTGTAAAGCTAATTAGCTTTGCCAAGATGGACTAAAAATATGGTATAACATTTTTCTTTTTGGATAGAAGATAAGGCAATAATATTACCACAAAAGAGGAATATAATAATAATAGATTCATTTCCGACTAGGGGCAGCAATATATCTTGTGAATATGCACGGACCATTATATGTTTGGCAATTCATCACCTTTGTTTACAAGTTGCAAATTGGACATGTATTTTTTTATACATATTATGTACTTTGAAGAGGTTGTACTTGCGTCACAAGTTATGCTGAAGGTTAAGTACAAAACGAAAAGCTTAATGTGAAATTACAGAGATTAATTCTGATTACATACACATACGACATAACACAGATAAAACCAACAAGCAGTGAAAATGGTTTTACACAATGTTTCATCTCCACTGATCTTGTAGCTCTACGAAATATTGAAAGCACGGAACAGTCTAGAGAGACAATTGATATAAGTCCATTAGCATTCAAAACTAAACATTTCTCGCAAGGCTATTTAGTTTTGCCAAGATGGACTAAGAATACAGTATAGATATATTCATTTGACGACAAGTGCAACCAATATTTGCTGTGGAATTCAAAACCATCTACTTGCTACTTCATCACTAGTACATTTATCAAATGTCTACTATGCACCGAAAGCAAATCTTTACAGAAAACTAGCATTTCATTAGAATGTTTCATCTCCACTGATCTGTAGCTTTACAAAAAAAACTAAAAGCACAGAGTATCTAGAGAAACATTTGATATAAGTCCATTAGCATTCAAAACTAAATATGGCCTGTAAGACTTTTTAGCTTTGCCAAGATGGACTAATTTAATGTGGAATTCAGTGTCACATGATTGACAATTCATCGGCAGACTTAGCATCCATTTCCATGTCTATGTAATTTCTTATCACAAAATTATCCAAAAATGTACCAAACTCATCAGTAAGAAGAACAACAAACAGTTTACTTGTCATTTTGACTTATCAACAACCTAAAGGTGTATGAGAGCTAAAAACATCAAAAACCCAACACGTATAAACAACAACTATACACAAAATTTCAGCAAAGAGTTTCACAGTCACACAAAAACTTGCCAAAATACCATAATTAAAACAACGATAAAAGACATTGTAAACTAAAAGCTTCCGAACTTACCACCATAGTCTTTGTTTTCTGGGTCAACATAAGAATCAGGAAGCACAAACAGAACACCAGGCACTCCTGTTTAAGGAAAAAAAATACACCATTACATAACAAATAAACACAAAATACAACAATATATATGGACACTGTTTCTATATAAAATTCATAAATCACAAACCTTCGAGCTTCTGCGAAGTCTCCTCATCAATCTCGCAACCAAATCCAAAGTATCTCTCACACGACACATTGTAAATCTTCTTCTTAGCCTCCTCCTCGCTGAAACACCACAAAAACCAAAGCTTCAGAATTGACACAAGCCAAAACCCTAGCACGATTCCATACCAAAACAATTTCTTTACCTTCCGACAACCTTCTCGAGGGTCTGAATGTAGCAATCGATCATCTGCTGCTTGGTGGCGCCCTCGCCGCCGGGCTTGTCCATGACGATGAGCCAGTGCTCGTAGTCGCAGCCGGGGAA